ACACAACAATCCACACACAACCACAGACACACAACCACAAACACTCAACCACAAACACGCAACCACAACAACAAAACCACAAAGACACAACCACAAACACAACCATAAACATAACAACAAACGCACACCCACAATCACACAACAATAGACACACAACCACAAACATAACCACAAACACACAACCACAAACACACAACCACAACAACACAACCACAAAGACACAACCACAACCACAAACACAACCAGAAACACACAATCGCAAATACACAATCACAAGCGCAATCACAACCACAACCACAAACACACAACCACAAACACAATCACAAACACAACCACAGCACACAACCACAAACACAACCACACACACACACAACCACAAACATAACAACAAACACACAACCACAAAGACACAACAATAAACACACAACCACAAACACAACCACAAAGACACAACCACAAACACACAACCACAAACACAGCCACAAACACACAACCACAACAACACGACCACAAAGACACAACCACAAACGTACAGCCACAAGCACAACCGCAAACACATCCACAAACACACAATCACAAACACACAGCCACAAACACACAATCACAAACACAACCACAACCACAACACAGCACACAACCACAACCGCAGCACACAACCCGAGGACCCACAAGCAAAATCGAGAACTACAATACTCACGACCATGGCGACATGCTCCTCACTATGGCATCAAGTCAAATGATTGAAATGTCATGGTGGGGATCACTCGAAGTAAAGTAATTTTTCTTGCAAACACGGCTTTTTCCAGGGCCGGCGACCCCAGGCATAGCGACAGCCGCGCAGATGGTGGACTTCGCTTGCCTTCTTTATCTCCAGATCGACGAAAGCCCTGAAAGCAATGCTGATGCATCGAATGCTGGCGGGTTTGGGATGGAACAATTTTTTAATCGTGGCACAGGTCCGAGACATCCCTTCCATGCCTGCTTGGAGGCTAGTGATGGTGGAGACATGTTGAAAGCATCTTGAAAGCATCTACTGTATATTACATTATATTACTGTATATGATATATGATTTAGTCATATTTAGTCATAAGTGCATAGATCATCATATGTGAGGTATTGTGTTACACCTTAGGGTGAGACTGAGATGTACCTTTTTGGTTCGCACAGGCAAAAAACGTCCCAGCAACAGGGAGCTACGTGCTCTTGCTGATCTTGCAAAGCAAATCAGCTAGCACGCAGCTAGTATCACGAAGAAGCGGCAGTTTGCGCTGGGCGCCCAGCGCAGTCGGTCTTGTGCAGCTTGGTCTCTTGAGAGATCACTGCTTAGTCGGAGCGAAGAATGGATGTGGACTCGGAGAAAATCTGCGCTGCACTTAAAGTGGCCTTTAAAGGTAGCCTGCAAATGGAATCAATTTCTGAAGCTGAGAAGCTTGTGCTTGAAGCCTGCTTTGGGAAGTGGGATGAGATGTGATGTGTCAACTGCAGGTCTAGGCTCAATAGAGGACCCGAGACTTCCTGATGGGGTAGGAAGTGGTACTTTGGGGCCCACGATGGATTCTGCGACCTGCATTTAGTGAGATCCATCTTTGCTCTGCTCTGGAGTCGCCTGTGAGCATCAGTGGATGACAGAGAACTGGAGTGAAGATGTTGCTTGGTCGGACATCTTGGAGTTTGGCAGGCAGCTGCTTTATTCAGAACTGGGCCACGAATTAATATGATCA